CAACTTATAAATGTAATTTTTTTGGTTTCCATAACTGCTACTCAAAAACAAAACAATGTAAAACTTTAGCGCCTACAAGTCCACTCAGTCCTACTTCTCGTTCAGCCAATCGCTCAGATGAACACGTTCGTTTACATTTGCAGGAGATAACGCTGCCTGCTTCTTATTTACAATGTCACCTGAAAGTGAGAACAGGCGTTCGCATGGGACTTTTGTAGCCGGTGTCGCAAGGTATTTACGTGCCAGATATGCTAAACATTCGTATGCCCCTTCATGCTTCGGCCACCATTCCAGAGGACATGCTTCCATGCTGATGATGCTCGTTAAAAAAAGATGTGCTAATTAAATTTGTGACTGAACTCCTTGGGGGAAGAATTGTATGTCTCCGGCTCTATTTTACCCTCATTCTGCCATATATTTCATATATAGCAGTCTCGGATGAGGACCCAGCACATGTTCATTTTAAGAACACACTCACTGCAGATTTGACAGAATGCAAAGAAGGTACCAATGTGAGATTTCTAAAGATAGTACCGCACTCAACGCAAGATCTGAAGTGCCTTCCAAAATCAGCAGGATGAGGTGTGGCGCATGCTTTCAGAAGTCTTAAAAGAACAACCCTCTGATGAGGAAACTACAGAACCCGAACCATCGAAAAAGAAAATCGACCTTCTGCTGGTGGCATCTGACTCAGGTCATGAAAATGAACATGCGTCGTTCGTACTGCTTTGGATTGTTATCAAACAGAACCCATCATCAGCATGGACGCGTGTCCTCGGGAAGGGTGGTTGAAGCATGAAGGGACCTATGAATCTTTAGCGCATCTGGCACAGAAATATTTTGCGTTGTTGGCTACAACAGTGCCATGAGAACACCTGTTCTCACTTTCAGGTGACGTTGTAAATAAGAAGCAGGCAGCATTATCTCCCGCAAATTGTAACCAACCTTGTTTGTCTGAGCGATTGGCTGACCAGGACTGAATGGACTTGTAGACTCTAAAGTTTGGCATTGTTTTATTTTTGAATGCAGTTATCTTTCTGTACATAATTCTACATTTGTAAGTTCCACTTTCATGATAAAGAGATTGAACCACAGTACTTGTATTAAGTGAATTGAAATATATTATTTATTTTGTTTTTTACAGTGCAAATATTTGTAATCAAATATAAAGTGAGCACTGTACACTTTGTAATCTGTCTTGTAATTGAAGTGAATATATTTGAAAATGTAGAAAGCATCCAAAATATTTAAATAAATGGTGTTCTAGGATTGTTTAACAATGCAATTAATTGCATGATTAATTATGATTATCTTTTTGGAATTGCTTGACGGCCCTAGTATCTATCCATCCACATCCCCACATCTATCTATCTATCTACCCATCTATGTACATACCTATCTACTCAACCCTGTATACCGCTACCCATCTGTCTATCCCCCATCCATCCATCTGTCTATCCCCCATCCATCTATCTGGTCACCCCCATACATACTGCTCCACTTCGAGACCACTGTGATGCCTTCTCAGTGACTTGGGATCAAAGGCAACGCTGGACAGTCACCCTACAAGCTGTGCGCTCTTGGCAGAAATCACTGAGTGAACTTCTCTGGCTTGGGCTATGTAGGAGATCAAACTACATGGCCTAATGGTTCCTCTACCTTTTCGCATCTGAGAGCCTTTGAGCCCCGCGGACTTCCCCTGACCGCAGACGGGAAATTGGCTTGACCCCCGAGAAGAATTTGCCCTCTTGCCTGAAGGAATAGAAACTGTGCCCTGATTGGCCGAGGTGTCCCTGAAACCAGACTAGGTGGGTTTGAGGTGGAGAAGTCCCTCATAGACTAAAGAACATTAATTAACTCAATTTCCCTTCAATAGATTTGAGATGCCCATTTTATAGATGGGTAAATGGCCTAACACTGGTTTACATGAAAATTACATTGGTAGAGTCTCAAATGGAACCCAGGAGTCCCAGATGCCCGCCCCTGCTCTGACCACTCGACCCCACTCCCCTCCCAGAGCTGGGGAGAGAACCCAGGAATCCTGGCTCCCAGCCCAACCCAGTTGGGATATGAGTTTCTCAGAAGGCTCAATATTCATTATTAAACCTCAGAATCTCAAGGCTGGGACCCAGTCCTCTGCCTCCCCGGTACCAGAGCCCATTTCCCGGCACCAACCGCAGGATGGTTGCATCCCAGGAGCTCCAGTCACTACTCTGAGCATCTGTGTGTCTGTCCTCATCCATCCATCTCATCATGTCTGCCTAGTTCTCACTTCCTCCAGTCACGTAAATACCCACAATCCACCACCTTACGTACCCTCCCATCTACCCACCCATCCATCCATCCACCCACCCCCTATACATACCCATCCACCTCTCATCTATCCACCCACCCACTCCCTGTACATACCCTCCCATCTACCCACCCATCTATCCATCCATCCACCCACCCACCCCGTACATACCCACCCACCTATCCATCCATCCACCCCTGTACATACCCACCCACCTCCTTATGTACCCACCCATCCATCCATCCCCTGTACATACCCACCCACCTCCCATCTACCCACCCATCTATCCATCCACCCACCCACCCCTGTACATACCCACCCACCTCCCATCTACCCACCATCTATCCATCCACCCACCACTTGTACATACCCACTCGCCTCCTTATGTACCCAACTACCTCTCATCTACCCACCCATCTATCTATCCATCCATCCACCCCCTGTACATACTCACCTGCCTCCTTATGTACCCACCTACCTCTCATCTACCCACCCATCTCCTATCCACCCTCTGTACATAACCATCCACCTCCTTATATACCCACCTATCTCCCATCTAGCCAACCATCCACCCCCTGTACATACCCACCTCTCATCTACCCAACCATCTATCCATCCATCCACCTGCTGTACATACCCACCCACCTCTCATCTACTCACCCATCTATCCATCCACCCCCTGTACATACCCACCCCCCTCCTTATCTACCCACCCATCTATCCATCCATCCATCCACCCCCGTACATACCTACCCGCCTCCTTATGTACCTACCCACCTCCTTATGTACCCACCCATCTATCCAGCCAGCCCCTGTACATACCCACCCACCACCTTCTGTACTCACCCACCTCTCATCTGCCCACCCATCTAACCATCCATCCACCCCCTGTATTAATTGAAAAGTCGCATTATCAGAAGGTTTAACATCTGTGTC